TTTGACCGAGGAGCTCGTAAAGACGAATGATTTCAAGTGAGCCTACGATTTGACTGCAACCTGAAAGAATACTAAGGCTTCCGCAAAATGGGTGGGCTAGTTCGGAGAACAGGCATCGATACAGTCAAATGAGGTGATAACATATCAAACTTCCCCACTCAAAATAGCTGCAACACATGTACGGTAAATGTCTTTCCAATTCGAGAAGAATGAAAGCCCTTTTTAGTTTTCGGCAATTCACCTTCACCAAAACGAGGTGCTCGAGTCAGTCTGAAGGTGGGAAATGGGTGACAGACGGAGGAAAGAGGTCAAGTGAAGTAAGATGTTGTGGGTGGGCAGTAAGGTGGATGGGTAGGGGAGCCCTGACAAAGTGGAAAGATGCGATTAATTCACCAAAAAACCAGCCAATCACCCAACAGGCGAATGGACAGGAAGCGTCATACTTGATCCAATTTGGAGCTGTCTACCTATTTGACTCAAAGATCGGGGTCATAGAAGCAGATGAAACGAATGCGCATGCACACACATATGCACACAGTGACCACAGCAAAACAGTGATGCGAACTGAGGACGAAAGTGCACAATCTTACCCAATTGTGGAAGACACTAGTTAAACCGATTATTTAAGTAGACACAGAAACAAAAAGGGGAATGACATACACGTAAACTCGGACATACCCACACTTACATAGAAAGAGACACAGTCACACAGTGAAAGCAGTAAAAGGTTAACGAGAAGAGAACACATTCTTGTTATATTCAGGCTGGTGTGTGAATGACTATCTCCCACTTAAGCGATGGTAGTAGTAATGAAGCAATCAAATAGAAGGAATGCTCACTGCCACAGAGGCAATCAGAGGGAGAAGGGGAGGAGGAAGAGTGGTGTCACTCTCAGCATCTCACTCAAAGAGAGCTAGATGGCACTGACGTGGACGCAGCAATTCCAACAAGCTCGCCCACATTCTGGAGGACGGCGCAAACATTCAAACGCCACAGCTCATGCCGCCATTGAAGTGTAACGGAGAGGAGAAGGGGTGGGGAGGTAGTAATTTGTATGGATAGATCGAGAGATAGACAGGCAGGTTGTTGGATTTAGATAGATAACCTGGCAGGTGAGTCCATACACAGAGAATGGAACAAATCTCCCCACACCTGACTGGCTATGCACCCAAACCCCTACTGGCCAAATGACCAAACTAACAGACTGGCGAATGGTGTATAAATATGTAAGCAAAAAAAATGAATCCC